AATTCCTCGACATATGACACATTTACCATAAGTTGCAATTTAGTAACATCGAACATTCTACTGGGTTTTAGAATATTCCAGACAGTGGCCAGAGTCGTCCCATTTCCATAGTTGTCCCATTACGGTCGGTTTCAGCGTTTTCACTTATTTATTTAAATATTTAGTAATCGGACAAGTGGGGCCTTAAAAGCCCAAATAAAACAGAAAGGGACTTGAGGGATTACATTACAATATCATAGTAATGACTTATCTACTAAGATACCTGACTTTGTTGACAGATTAAATTAAATATACATAATTTTAAATATATTTACCTATTTTACCCTCCTATCCCAAAAAGCGGTATTTCTAAAAAACTACTTTTCTATTTTTTTAACGCATCAGATAGCTTGATAAATTTCGCATCAGAAAAATGGCAAAATCTCACTCAAAACATTAAGAAGAACCTAAAACAAATTTACATATTTTAACTTCACTACTAAAAGGCTTAGTGGTATGCCATTATTACTAAGTCAAACAGCTATAATAATATTCAAAAACAGAAAATAATTTAAAGTAATCCAGCTGTATCTAAATTATTTTTTTCGACTCGAAGAAACGCGTGAACAACTTTTAGAAAATGTATATTTTCTCGAAACTCGCTTAAACTGAGATACCGCTATTCGGCTTAGGAGGGCAGTATTGTTGCATTTTAGAACTGTACATATTGAATATTGTTAAAACCATATAATAATTTAAAGTCTGACATTTAAGTGATAAGTGATTTAAAATAGTAAACTTACAATAACGCTAGCCGATAACTTATCATTTGATTAATAGTCCCTCTGCAGAAAAACACAAATCGATTGCGTCTGCTGAATGCGGCCAATTATATAGAATAAATTAATTTTCGTAGGTTTGGGCACTCCTAGCCGGGCAGTATTCCCATAATTTTATTTTCTTCACTTTGATGACCAATCTACCCAAATACCTTAAAGAAATTTTAAAGATGAACGTTCAAGCTAACGCTATTGGAACAGCTCTACCGTTTTTAGGTAACGTAATTGTCACTGTTGGAAATACATCTAACATATTCACGCCACGCCACCATTTCGATAAGTTTTTGTACACCGGCAGTTATATACTTTTTAGATTATTTAATTGGATTAACATTGGTGTGGGTCTACTAAACTAAAGTAAATGTTATATATTTTTTAGGTTTATGGCTGTCCAATATGTTTTTTGCCTACACAACAGACTGGCTTATCAACCATGACTTTATTACGATAAAAGTAGCTAGAAAATTAAATACTTCGTTCGCCTGTATTTTTCCATCGTTTCTGCTACTGGTAGCGGTCTACATAGGTTGTAATAGAATAGCGGCACTCGCCTTATATACTTCAGCAGTTACTTTCTTGGGACCGTTCTTTTCTGGGATGAAAGTGAATGTGAACGACATCACTGTACATTACGGAGGTTCGTATGTGTAAGGAATAAATCAATTTTGGTGGTATTAGTATAAATAACAGCTGTTTCGAAATTTGGCCACGAGCGACGAAGGAGCGAGTGGACAAACGAATGAGTTCGAGAATAGCCTTCTTCAATGTGTGTTTCATACTATTTTCTTGATGTTGGGCTTTATTTATCGGTTTTTTTATAATTTTTTGTGGTCGTTGTTAGTTGGGACTTTTTTCGCAAAATATGTCAGTTGGTAATATTTAGTTAGTTACTATAGTCTATTTTTATGTATGAGAGAGTAATAAAACAGCATTTCTAATGCAAAACTTAGTACGGTCATTTTAAATATTTTTACAGAATAATCTAAATATTTCCTAAAATTGTAATAAATGTACCTGAGCTATTACAAGTTTTGGGTCTTTTATTGGTCCTTTATAAACATAAGCTGTACAGAACAATAGAAAAAGGTTTGGACAGGCCAAAGGCCCTGTTCATTAAAGATTACATAGCCGTATCTTAAGATTATTTTCAATAAGTACCTATTTGCCAATTTTGTTTTATTTTAATTCCAAGAATTTCTTACAGTAATCGAATTATAAGTAGATAAATACCTTCCCAACAAATTTCACCGAAAATGCGATTATAAATGGGAGGTCCAAGTTGTGTATTCTTGACAGTTTACTAAATGTTGTTTAGTTGCAACTTGCAAGGTGCAGTGTGAATTCTAGTGTGATCATGGAAAATTTGGAAGGGCCGCGTAAACGACAAAAAATCGGTCCTTTAACAGTTAATGAAAAAACATTATTATTTAATTGTTTTAAATCATTTACAGACAAACATTTATGTAAAAGTGTTGATGACACAGTGGAATTAGTAGTACGCTTGATGTTGGGAAATCTACGATTTACAGAGTTGTTAAAGAAGAGAAATGTGGCGAGTTTCAAACAGCACGTAAAGCTCCAGGAAAACCAAAATTTCAATTAGAAAATCTTTTGAAAGAAAGACTTCGAAGGAAAGTGCATGCGTTTTTCTTTAGAAAAGAATTTCCGTCAGTAGACAAAGTTCTTGCCACGGTTCGAGATGATAAGGATTACCCTGAAATGAGTCGAAGCACACTATGGAAACTTTTAAAAGAAATAGGTTTTCTATGGAAAAAGCATTCCAGAAAGTCTATTTTAATAGAAAGAAGCGATATTGTAGTATGGAGAAGAAATTACCTAAGGACTATAAAAGAAATAAGAAACCAAAGAAGAAATATATTTTATTTAGATGAAACATGGATCAACGAGGGACATAAACCAAATAAATGTTGGCAAGATGAAACTGTTACAAGTCGAAGACAGGCTTTTTTAAATAATTTATCGACTGGTTTAAATCCACCATCAGGAAAGGGGCGCAGACTAATAATAGTACACATCGGTAGTTCAAACGGTTTGGTTAAAGGTTGTTTATTGACTTTTGAATCTACTCGTACCGGTGACTACCATGAGGACATGAATGCTGATGTCTTTAAAGAGTGGTTCGAACAAATTATAGATCTTCTTCCTCAGAACTGTATAATAGTAATGGATAATGCAAGTTATCACTCGAGACTCATAGAAAAAATGCCCACAACCAAGTGGTTAATAAAAGATTTACAGAATTGGCTAAATTCAAAGAATATTAAGTTTCATCCCGGTTCTGTGAGAAAAGAACTGTATCATTTGTGTTCCCTTCATAAAGAGAAATTCAAAAAATATGAAATTGATGAAATTGCAAAAAATCGTGGGATGACGGTGGTTAGATCACCACCATATCATTGCGAAGTAAACCCGATTGAACTGATATGGGCACAGATAAAGGGAGAAGTTTCAAGAAAAAATAATTCTTTTAAAATGAGTGAAGCGTGAAAACTGGGAAAAGGCAGTAAATCATACGATTAAAGAAGAAGAGAAAATGTGGAAGTTGGACAATATTACTGATGAAATGATCGAGCCACTCATTGTAAATATTGGTTGCGACAGTTCATCTTCTGATTTCGATTCTGATTTGGATTTGTAGGTAAGAAGTAGTTTTTATATTAAAATTATTATTTATGAACGTAACGTTGTTTAAAAGTCAAAGTTTAAACCCTTATACCTACATAACCCGTTTGACACAATGTTCTTAACATACCTTGTGGAAAAATAAAACATTTTAGAAAAAATTGCACTTTTTTACCTTCAGCTGTTTAGAAGTTATAAGCAGGTTAATTAGGCGAAAATATAAGTGTATACTCGAGGAATAACTTCAAAAAATATTTTAACTGTCTACTAAAAGAAGTGGTAAGCCTATGGATTACGAACGCTTTATTATTTTAATACTCTCTCTTACATAAAAATAGACTATAACCAACTGACAGGTGGAATTTATTTACTAGCAAAATAGTGAATAGTAACTGAAATATACTGATAAGTTTTGTGTAATTAACGTACTCTGGAACGTCACTAAATGTCACCAAAAATCGTTTAAGAATGAGCATTATTCTTAAACGATTTTGCGTGCGAGAATTTGACATTCTTATACCAAAATCGAGAAAAATAATTTCCAAAATCAAATATGGCCAAGAAGTAAAATAAACAAAAAAAGATCAAAGCCATGTGTCACCAAATAGTACGAGCGTTCTCTTATTTGGCTAATGCCACAACAGGTATCGAATTATATTCAAATAAAACCAACAGAGAAAATAATTATTATTATTGGAGTAAATAATTTCCTCTTTGTATATAATTCAATGCCTGTTATGGTATTAACCAAAGGAGCAGTGTTTTCCAAAGAGAAACGATTCTTTCGTATTATTTTGTGATAAATAGATTTGAGATGTTTTTATTTTTCTTTAGTTAACAGTTATTTGTTTATGTATAACTAAGTGTGTCTGAGAGCATTAGGTGGGTGGTACTGGCGCGAATAGCTGAAAAAGTTACTTACTATTAATAAAAAAAGCGTGTTATAAATTACTACTATGATAGGATTACCTACTGATCATTGTATTTAATTTCAGGGACCATTATGGCAATCGTAAATGGTATAGGTTCGACTGCCGGTATATTGGGTCCTTACATGGTAGGAGCTTTAACAGAAGAAGAATCTTTCCACTCCTGGAAAAAATGTTTTTGGGTGATATTTACTGCGTCTTGTGTCCTGGCCACGATTTACACTGTATTTGCAAAAACCGAACGACAGAGCTGGGATTTCGTGGATGATGAATAATTTTTTGATTACATACAATATATCCAAATTTTGAAGAAAATTACATACTATTAAGAATTGTTTATTCAATTTATTATATTATACAGTATAAGTATATTATTATATTACTATCAGAAGTTTCCATTCACATTTTTATTCATTTACCAATTCAATTTTAATACAGCCAGTTGCAAGAACTTTGACAAAACTTGAAAATGCGATAAATTTATTAATCTCTTTAAATAATTAAGATACGTTTTTGCAACAGGTTGTTAACGTTTGTTTAAACGATCAAAAATATGAGTAAATCGTTTATGATTGTCACGTTATTAGACTGTCAATAAAACAAAACTTACTTTTTAAATCATTCTCCTTGGTTGCTATTCCTTTTTTACGATGATGAACGTGCGCCAATGCCAGAACCTCTGAAAAAAACAAAATTGTCTTAATCTCATGTCAAGAAAAGTTGGGAAACGTGGGGTGTAGAACGAGGTATCGTAGTGGAACGGGGTACTCCATCTAAATTTGTTTTGGTTAACGTTTTAGACTTGTTCTAGAACCATGCGCAGAACTGTTACGCAATGATCCTTAATTATGGACAGTTTTGTAACCATTCCATTTTTACTCGAAAGCAAAATACTGGCAAAACAGTTAAATGTCAAAAAGTAAATTATACATTAAAAAGAAGAAATAACACACTGACCCTGCGTCTAAGTAAGAAAGAGGCCATATAATATTGTAAAACGTAGATAAAATAAATAATTTATTCATAAAAAAAATTGTAACCCAACATCATCTGATCAACTGGTCCATTCTCAATATTCTCATTCGTCATTCGAAAATTTCTTGTAAAATTCCAACACAAAACATGGCCAGGATTCCAAAAACAAAACTTCTTGCAAAAAGTCCAAACGCAAACATATCAATTGTGAATCAGTTTTCGCTTTGGGCCAGAACTGAAGTTACTGTTCGAGAATGGTTATGGAACCATTCCCAAGAAAAACCAAAACACAGAACTTACAGGTTCGGAACTAGTTCTGGAGAAACCAAAACGGCGAATATTTACTGGGCATGCTCCGAAGGTTCTGGAAGAGTTCTGGAACAGTTACAAAGATTAACCGAAACAAAGCTTCTATGACCGCCTATTTGTTACGGTAGGAACACTGTAACATCATTAATGCACAAATATCGCCCTTCCCACTATCTACAAGTACACTAACCGAAACCAAGCTTGTCTATCTAAGTTTGTGCAGGATGTACTACGCATATACCTACGTTTTAACAATAGAAAAGTATATATAGGTACGTTATACATGAAATCAAGTCAAGAGTTTTTGTAGAAAGAAAAAGACATTACCTCGACCCCGAGAATAGTAAAGAAAATGAGCCAGGAATATATACTACGTATTTTTACAAAGGTGTTTGATTTACAAAATTTCTAGTATGTGACATATAAACCTGTGGCAATTCCTTGCGCGATATCCCGCTTGTAGCCTGTGGATGAAGATATAGTCAAAGAGTATAGTTATAAACTATTGTTTAAAACTGTATAATTTTTATTTTTGAAACCTCTGTCGAAAGTGCTACAAATCAAAAAATACGTTACTTAAATCGAGAATAGTTTAAAATGCACTCATGCAAATTTTCATAAAATATGACACATAATTCTGTAAAAGAGAAATGTAGTTTTCGCAGTGTAGGTTCAGTGAATAGCTACGTTCGCGTGTACTGTGAACAGTTACGTTTTCTCAAAGTATCTCTGTGGTGGAACTGAAGGTCAAATATTTCTATCCCTTCTACTTCAAAGTTCCGACCATTACTTTGTTTTCTCTATTGTTCTTTCTTCTATATTGAAAGTATGTCTATGTCTTACCCTAACCATACGCCAAACGGACATGACTTTTAAGTGATTGTCTTTTTATAAAAGAAAAATATTAGTATTAAATGCCATTTAATCTATTAAAATGTACTTTTGGAAAATGCGTGGTGTACCAAAGATACATTATGGTTATTTTTATGCAACTGGCTCTTTTAAATTCCTATCATTTGAGGATGGTGCTAAATATCGCAATCACAGAAATGGTGGCTGAAAGAAACCTTACATCGAAAGTAAGAATGAACTAAATTTAATCGTAAATCACTCACTAATTGATGAAATGTCGAGAACATACTCAATTAGGAATTTCAGATTTATGTTTAGCATGTTTCAGTTTCATTGAAATATAAATTTGGATTTTTCAAAAGCTTTTATTTAATAGGCTGGGCCGTGGTATTCCCATATATTCCCATTCAGTACCTATTGTTAAAACATAGGCCACTAACGTTTACTAAAAGCTTAATACATTTTCTTTGTGTTACAGGTAAATGAATGTCCACAATACACATACGAGAAGATAGAAGAAGTGGAAGGCGGTACTTTCCCGTGGGATAATGAAATGGAAGCCATAATTCTTTACGCGTTTTTTACCAGCTCCACTATCAGTCACATTCCCGGTGGTTGGTTGGCTGACAAGATAGGCGGCAGACACGTAATGGGTACCTGTTTAGTGATATCATCGTTAGCCACTATTGCTTTTCCAACTGCACTTCAACATTTTGGATCTACCGCCGCTATTATACTGAGGATGATCTTGGGTAAGCACTTTTGTGCTGCAACTCATAAAACCATGCCGGTATCATTAGATTATTATCTTTAAGGTTATTTTAGTGACTGATACCTCTTTGAACATTTGTAAAAAGCAGCCTTTACCCGTACGTTATAAATAATTGGCCTCTGCAACAACATATTTCACTGCCAGAATTATACAGATGCTCCTTGTTTTACTATAAAATAATATTATACAGATTCCACTAAAATTTTTGTTTGAAATAGTGCAAAACTATAAGGAGCAACAGAAAGAAGACTATTCATATGAATTGAGCATAAGAAAGAGAAAGCAGAAGAAGGGCTTTGGCAACCCCATTATTCTTCGCAATGCCGATCGAGCTCATTCGTTAAGTCCGACACGCTAATAAAACAAATTTAGCCTGGATCTTATCGAGTCTATAGCGCGCGAAGATAATAAAATAGATTCTGGTTTTCGTTTTAAATAACTAAGTATTAATATAGAGTTAAAGCAACGCTACAAACGTATACGTATCTCTCTGACGTAAACGTAGAACAGGGTTGCCAACTTTTCAAATTCCATTTACCGTACCGCGCAATTCAAATTACCGTACATGGCCGCCTCAAAACCGTACGCTTTTATTTTGTAGAAAAAGTGCTTATATATGAATATCTTTCCATGAATTAATTTTTAATAGAAATATTTATTATAAAACAAATTAAAATATATACACACAAATTAAAAATCCAAATAAAACCAATTATTGTCATCTGCATCTGACCCATACTCATCGTGTTACGTTAAAGTATCAAGAACAGAAGTAATTTTTTTTGTTTTTGTAAAGCCACCTTAGATTAGATTTTTAGGGAATCAGAATTACAGATTCTGTATTCCTCCGAAAAAACCATTTGTATTTAAATCTATAATACTCATAGGTGCTTTTATGTACGGTAATGTCTTTGGACCATATACCGTACATTAACCGAAATTACCGTAAAAGGACAGTAATTACCGTACGGTTGGCAACCCTGACGTAGAAATTGACGATATGTTAACGTGCAATCTGAAAGAAAAAGATAGTTAAAGCTAAAACAATGACGTTAATATATCTACAACTTTGTAACCGTAGGTACTTTTTGAGAAAAGTATTATGTTATAGAGAAATTTTTGATTCTGGGGGATTTAATAACGATGACGATGATGATGATTTAGAAGATGCTATACCTGGGGTAGTATTCTCGAATCACGAATACCGACATTCGCATACGTGTTTTACAATGTGTCTCACTTTGTTGAACGAAAACCAAGTGAGACAAATCATAAATCTCGCATGCGAATCTATATTCGTGACTCGAGAATACTACCCCTGAGCTTACAAATTGTACATTATGTAAAAAAAATTGAAAAATAACGGTGTTTTATTATTAGAGATTCAATTTCATTAACCAGTTTGAAATTGAATGAAAGAGTTTCTTTCGATCAAAAACAGCGATATAATTAGACTTTTTAGGGCTCTTTTGGCATGCCAAGTATAACAATAAATGATTCTAGCAATTATTTTCTGAAATATTTTTATATAAATTACAAATGAATCTTATTTTATAAGTTATAATCTGTCATTAGTTTAATTAATCGGGTGCGATCGGATGTTCTCGAAGTATTTGCTTGGCTGGATACAAATGCGTATTAGGCATACATAAGAACACGTACGTTTACGTCAGACGTAAGTAGATACGTATAGAAAATAGCTGTTGCGCTTGCGTAGCTGTCATTTGATACGTTTACGTATACACTGATGGCATTGCTTTAACCCTCTAATATAGCGATCGTTACGTAACGTAAATAAAAACAAATTCACACTGGTCGTGCTGGGTGGAACGACTCCCCACTAATCAATTCATCACAGAGTGTGATATAGCGCGTGCTCTCTTTTTATTAAGCTATCGTAGTTCTTTCTATTAATTCGCGTTACTCAAGAAAAATGTAAACCGAATCTGTAAATTGATAACGCATGGGTAAAGATATCTAGACCACAGAATAGGTAAACAATCCAGAATGGAAGGTAACCTTGAGTTCTACCATAGAGGTATTCTGAGAAAACTAATGCTCGCAAACATATACTATTCACTGAAAGTATACTCCAAAAACTACAATTACTTTTATTTTACATCTACAATGCTCCACCAGTTCACCATCATGAAGGCGTAGTTACATTGGCTGGGGTTTTGGTAGTACCCCTATGTTTTTTTTTGTATTATTTATCTATTTTGTGGTACGACGATAAACCTGTATGTTATCCCCTTCTCTCCCTATCTCTCTGATAATATTATGTTAATATATTCTACTAGTTTCATAACTTTTATCAAACTGTAGGTTTCGCACAAGGGCCTGTCATACCCACAATAACGACGTTCATCCAGTGCTGGATCCCCAAATACCAGCGAGCCTTTTTGGGCGGGGTAGCTTATGGTGGCTACAATTTGGGTACGGTAACTGGCTCCATATTTACCGGTATGATTATCAAGAGGACCGGCAGCTGGATGCTGCCCTTTTACGTTTGGGGTTTTTCGTCGTTAGTGTTTTGCTGTTTTTTTTATTTATTTGTATTTTCGCGACCTAGTACGCATCCTTTCATCACAGAAGAAGAGCTGACGTTTTTGGAGACGGAAGTGGAGAGTAGGAAAAGCTTTAAAGTACCTTGGTGGAAGCTTTGTACAAGTGTACCGGTTAGTAAAGAGATTTTTTATTCTTAATGTATGAATTTAAAAAAAAAAATAGTAGATTAAGACACAACATAGGAATATCCTTATTACGGTGTAAATCAATGGAGAAACATTACCTTATCGGCTGCGACAATTCTTAAACTGACAACATAAAGATATTCCTATAAAATAATTATTATACATATTTACATATATATGAACTCAAAGAAAAACTAAATCGTGTCGTTATAAATTCTCCATTGTATAAATTTCCTTAAAAATTAACTTTTTATTAGTATAGTTACTTATACTAGCAACTGGTACAAGTAGTTAATCTGCCAGTGAACTTTACCAAGTCCAAGATTGGTAGGTCTTTACTCACTACACTTTTTTTTTATCAAATATTACTGGTAGCAGTTTTGAGAAAGTGTGTATATTCACAATAGTAGAATGTCGTCAGTTTTCAGTTCTGTTACAAGCACTGGTGTAAAAGTAAGTTATTATGCAAGTAACACCGGATTAGTAGCTGTCTTGCAAGTTACTGGTGCAAGTAACTAACCTCTCTACTATACCAATTAAAACACCCCTTTATATACATTAAATACATCAAATTTTTGTAGGTTTGGGCACTTCTGGTCGCACAATATGCCCACAATTTTATTTTCTTTACGTTGTTAACCAATTTACCCAAATACCTCAAAGAAATTTTGAAGATGAATGTACAAGCTAACGCTGTTGGAACAGCACTACCATTCTTAGGTAAAACTTTTGTTATTTTGACGTAGTTGTCACTGTTATGGTGTAAAAATCAGTTTTTAAGTAACTGGGGACACCTGTTATATTTATCTTAAGGCCATTGGGATATGCGCGCTTCTCTTGGGCGCCTATCTTAATCGTTGCTTATCTTTTATTTTATTGCTTTTTGACTTGAGTTAACTGAAGAAATTTGAAAAGCCTAAATAATTAACAGTGAAAATAAACCATTGTTTGGTTGATAACATAAGACGCGGAAGAAAGTCCACTTGGTTCGAGACTGGAAACATGTTAATAAAAGATTTTATGTATATTGAAAAATACTGGTTTAATTTCTAATATTTTTTTTGATGTGTGTCTTGTATATATAAGTCGCTGGTGTGAGAAAAATTGGGTACTTCTTGTAGAAATAACTCGAGAGTTTGAGTAGAAAAAGAAGTGTTTTTATTAATCACATATGAGGTACAAAGAATGTTGGTTTTGTAAATAGAACATAGAACTTCTTAACTAATACGTACAATCAAGTTGATCGTTGCCAATTTGAATTCATTTGCTTGTTTATGAAGAGCTTTAATATTAACGTGTGTAAAAATATTGGTTAAAAATGAAGCTAGAAAGCTATTGGTTCAAAATCCGTAGAAACGGTCATATTATCGAAATTTTGAAGATTTGTAATAAAACAATTTAATATAGTTTCCAAAATTCTACAAGGTGTCAACAAAGACTGAGTTAGTTTCCAAGATCTGTGATTCACTCATCATTTTTGCAGAAAATAAATGGAAATCCTTTTGAGGAGGCTGGTAAAAAATCCTCAGAATAATTCAGAAGCAATCATAAGAGAATTGTTGAAGTGTTTTTGCGAAGTGATTATTTTCGGATTAATACCTTCTTATCAATATGCTGAAAGAGTTAAGGAAGCGCATACCTACGTATGATGTGGTAATTGCTAATTTTGCTTCCTTTTCTTGAATTTTACAAGGGAGTGTCCTATAATTAGGATTATCAGGACCGATGTTGTTATTTCAAAAGAAGGATCAGGTCCAAAACATATTAGGTTGGCTGCCTTTGTGGCTAATGAATCGGTATTTCGTGTAAATTCAGAGCACCTGGATATTAGGACAAAATGACATGAGAGCAAGGGAGATATTGGTTAAATCAATTTTAGGTTATTAATGGGATTAATATTGCTCTGGGTATATTAAACTGAAGTAACTGTTGTATTATTTTTTAGGTCTCTGGCTGTCAGTCATGGTCTTTGCCTACATAACCGACTGGCTTATTAATCGTAACTTGGTTTCAATTCCAGTAGCTAGGAAAGTAAATACTTCGTTCTCCTGCATTTTTCCATCGTTTCTGATACTGGTAGCGGTTTACATAGGTTGCAACAGAGCAGCGGCCGTCGCATTATATACTTCAGCGATTACTTTCTTGGGACCGTTCACTTCTGGGATGCAAATCAATGTGAACGAAGTCAGTATACATTACGGAGGTTCGTAAGAATAAGAAAACTTATATAAATCTGTTGTGGTGGTATCAGTTTAAATTACAGCTATTTAAAAAATAAAATTATAAGATGAAAGATGAAATTAATGGTAGGAAAAAGCGTTTTGATGTTGGGAATTGGGATACTTAAAACTTTGGACGGTTCGTTAGCTTAAAAATACAGTATTGCCCGAAATAAACAGTACTGAAACTAAGTTGGCGGTATCTCTTTGCGCCCTACATACTTTGATTTTCTCTTACTATACGGAGAATGGTCGCACTACTCAACTTTCTGAGTGCCTTTTAAAAGGAAATAGAAAACTCCGCCATTTTGATGCGTTATTACGTGTTGCCTACATCTTGGCGCAATATTTTTAATAGATGCATTTTAATCATCCGCTTCTGCTTCGGAATTGTCGGTTTTCTTGTTTTAGGGTGAGATTACAGAACGTCTGCAACTTTGCAGATCTACAAATATGGCGGAAACTTTGAAAATCTGCAAATATGACTGACTTACACATGCAAGTATCAAGTTTTCGTATTCCAAATTTGGGTTTAGTGTTGTTGGGGGTAATAAACCACAATAAATATTGCGAATTTGCAGATATTTTTTGGAATACTTGCATTTGTAAGTCCGCCATATTTGCAGATCTGCAAAGTTGCAGACCTTCTGTAATCTCACCCTTAATCTGACAGGTTACAATAAATTGATGAATAATTATCTTAATAATAAGGATGAAAATCTTATTTCAATAATTAACGCAAACAAGAAATATTATAATATTTATTTTAAAATGTTTTTATAAAATGTAACTGTGTCTTCACTGCACAAATGAACCAATGGAGAAACCGCCACTGCGTATATGTATATTTTACGATCACTATACCTATTGAAACTTTTATTTTGCAGGCACCATTATGGCCATCGTGAATGGCATAGGTTCGACTGCCGGTATATTAGGGCCCTACATGGTAGGAGCTTTGACTGAAGAAGAATCTTTCGCCTCCTGGAAAAAATGCTTCTGGGTGATATTTGCTGTATCCGTTGTCGCGTCCGCAATTTATATTACATTTGCCGAATTCGAACGACAGAGCTGGGATTTCGTGGATGACGAATAATTGCGTTCTACTGTTAATATTTAACAAAAACAAATACTTTTTTTTAATATAATTTAAAGATCGTAAAAAGTAGTACTTAAACGAAATTGTTTTTAATGTGTAATAAATACAATCTTGAAAATAATAGAAATAAAATAATAATGATACGTCTAACCTCTTTTTTTGATAAGTCTACTGTCACTGGAATTGTCATTAAAACTAGGGATGCGCGATACGATCCGATATTTCAGAGTATCGATACTTTTACGTCCGATACTCGATATTTTGGATCGATACTTTGCTTTACGATATGTTGCAAGTATCGATACATTTCTACTGTATCGATACCTTTACGATCCGGGATTTTGGTTGGTGGCGGATCGGGGCGGCGTCATCTACTAGCAAAACGAAAAATTAAATACATTTACGCAACCGTTATTCATCATTTGCAGTTTCTGTAAAAATGCATATACTTGATAAAATCGTATCGTTGCATGAAGATATCAACAACGATCGTATTCTAATTTCTTATGAGCACAGTATCGTTCTATCTTCTGTCTGTCCTCTGTCAGTCATCTGTCAAGTGGGCTGAGTGAATCCCTGAAATATTTTCGTGTTATAAGTAGCTACTATTTTTTTATGTAGTTAGGAGTATCTAAAATAATTGGTTTGTTTTATCTTTTGATTATGATGTAAGCCGCACAATTGTGCTGTGTACTTTGTGCGTTATTTTATAGGTATTGATCTTGTACATAATTATTTTTAAAATGGTGAATAAATGTTTTAAATCAAAAAAAAAATAATATGATCTGTCTGTCTTCAATTTATTACTACCTGTCAAACTGTCAAGCCCTAATAAAGTGGGAATAACTGAAATAACTACTAAAAATTTCGGATCGTTAAAGTATCGATATTTCGAGTATCGATATTTCGAGTATCGATACATCAACATTCGATATTTTACTGTATCGATACTTTACGTTCCGATCCGTATCGATACCTGATATCGATACTTTTAAGTGTATCGCGCCCTCTTCATATCTATGCGCGCATCCCTAATTAAAACACAAATCATCTCTAATATAAGTATTGCTATGTTATTAGTACTGTCAATAAATAAACTTACTTTTTAAATCATTATCCTTGGTTTCTATCCCTTTTCTATGATGGCGAATGTGCGTCAATGCCAGAACGTCTGAAAAAAATAAAAAGCTAGTCAGTTTTGTTGAGAATAATTGGCATTTTTTAAAATAGTTTTATTTAAATAATATAAAAATATTTTCTTCCTATCAATCCTCAAATATAAAATTATTAAATTCAAATAAATCGAAGTAGGTACACCTCCAAATCACCATTTATGATTACACACTTCCATCTGTTGGCACCGCTAGAAATGAAAGTTATGCAAGCAACAATGTAACGAAGTAATATTTGTAACATAGATACACAATTTTATTCAAAATTCTTATACAAATTTTGTCATATGTAATGCACGAATATAAAACTTTAATTATAAAAAAGTAGAGAGAGGGAAAGAGAGACAAAGAGTCGTTCAATAGAAAAAGAAGAAATAGTAGCTTGGAGAGATCATTATTTAAGAAAAATTATAGCCTCGTTGAAACAAAATAAAAAATATTTTATTTAGACGAAACATGGGTCAACGCAGGACACATATAATAATAATAATAATAATACTCTCCCTAATTCACCCCCTTACGAGTGAATTTCAACACCTGAAGTCGACTGAACGACTTGTGTAGGGGAAGAGACGGCTATTATTATTATTTGCCGTCGCACTCCGGGGCGACTTAAGGATGATTGATGGTGCCATTTGACTTACAGGTGAGGAAAACCCGGAAAACCTCACCCACCATCATATATATAGAGTTGCCACCTGTCCTTTTTTGAAAAGGACATTCCCTTTTTCAAACAAATTGTCCTTGTGACTTTTTAAACCTAAAAATGTCGTTTTTAAAAACTATTTTTCAAGATTAACTTATTCGCAGCAGCACCGGCATGGCCCACACGCTCTCAGAAATGAAACACAGTCCTAATGCTGTTTTTCCGAACGAACTTGATCATTTTACATGTGTGCAGCTGTCGAAAAAAGTTTTTTCTACGACCGTGTATTTTTACCCACTTTCCCGCACGCATTTTAGTTTTGAAAGTGTCACTTTCCCGCACTAGTGCGGGAAAAAATCACTTTCCCGCACTAGTGCGGGAAAGTAAAATTTTGAATATTTGGCCTTACCTATTGTATCGTTTTTTTACCTCGGATGTTATAACTATTGTTACAATAGGTAATTTAGTATTTTCCAACTATTCCATTTAATAAAATTTACTTTTTTTCTTGCTTTTTGTTATAATTTTAATTTTTTGGAAAACTTGAATAATAGAGATATTTTTATATACCTTCTGTACATTTTTAAAAGTCAGACTAGGCTGTGACATGTATGGCTTGATATGGTTGCTATATGGTAACCAAGGCGTGTTATTGTTACAAAAACGTCAAAGTTGTTTGTTGAAGCGTCGACTGAATTAAAATAAATTAAAGAAATAATGGATTCATCGGATGAAGAGCTGCCCGAAGCCATTTTAAAAACTGCAAATGAAGCACATTTGGAGGTGTTACCTGCCAAATCACGAGGAAGATATGAAAAACAATACGACCATTTTGTCACATGGTGTAAACAGGAAGGGGTAAAAACTTATAAAGAAGAGGTGTTTCTGGCGTATTTTTCGCACCTAAGTAAGTTTTTGAAATCTAATACTTTATGGTCTCGCTATTCGATGGTGAAAAGTTTAGTAAAAATAAAACAAAATTTGGATATAAGCCATATAACGTCATTTCTAAAACAAAAAAATGTTGGTTTTCGAGCACAGAAGGCGCAGGTTTTTACCAAAGAAGATATATCCAGGTTTATGTTAGCCCCTGATGAGTTATACCTTATGATTAAATTGAGTACCATTTTTGCTTTAGCACGTGCTCTCCGCAGAGCGGAGCTTGTAAATATCACTCTCGATGATATACAAGATAAAGGCAATCTGATAGTTGTGAAAATTTCCGATTCCAAAAATCATTCTTCAAGATTATTTGTTTTATGTGAAGAAATAAATAATGGAAACTTTCTGAAGATGTACAGAAAGTACGCAGGTTTACGACCACCTACCACTCCGCATCGCCGCTTTTTTATTAATTATAAGAAAGGAAAATGCTCAATTCAGTGCGTTGGCGTAAACACCTTTGGTAAGATGCCAACAGAGATTGCTGCATATTTGCGTCTACCTAATCCTGAACGATATACAGGACACAGTTTTAGACGTTCTTCAGCAACATTCCTAGCAGACTCAGGTGAAGCGATAACCAATATAAAACGTCTCGGTGGCTGGAAGTCTACTACTATCGCTGAAGGCTATTTGGAGGACTCCGAAACACAGAAGAAAAACATTTCGAATAAAATTCTTTCAAATAGAAATGACTTGCAACCTTTGCTGCCACCGTCATTTTCACCTTCATGCGACCTGCAACCGATGTCACTCCCGTCCACGTCATCTTTTCAATCTACGAGCGTTACGACTATTAACATCGACTCTGTACCGGCAATTTTACATAATTTACAAAATGCTACAAATTGTGTATTTAACATTAATATCCATAATTAGTTGTTTTTATTTAAAGATTTGTATATGTTGAAATAAAATAATTTTCCAAAAATAATTTTTCCTACTTTTTTGTATATACGGTCGTAGAAAAAATAATGTTCCTAACTCATGCGTAAAGTGTCTTTCCGCACTTGTTAGGAAAATAACTATTGTTTTGTATGTTCAATTTTCCAAACAAACCAAACTTTTTGCGGCTAAAACCAGATTATGATATTTAAAATATTTTGCAGTTTTAATGTAGATTTTAGACTGTTTAAAATTAAAAATAAAAAGCAAAAATATCGTCCAGTAGATTTTTTGGATTTTTCATTCATTTTTTTAAATAAACTAACTGAATGTAAAACTTTTTTGATGCAATAATAATGGATCTAAAAGGTGGGCAATTTATAATAAATCCCTGTATTACCATATGAACTAAAACTTTTAAGGTGTTGAAAGAAAGTCTACATATTGAAATAAATTAATCAAGATCACGACAGAAGAAAGAAAAGTAACCATTAAAAACCTTATAGGTACAATTTTTCCCCACATTTGACTGTAATATTTTACCGAGGAGATTATTTTTAGAGCACGTGGGTAAAGTGATTAGTAATAACAAAATAATCTTAATACCAAATGAGATTTTACACATACTTATGGTCGACTAAGATTGCAAACATTTTAATTTTTATTACTTTTACATTTCGCGAAAAGACAAGTGTTTTTCTCATTTTCGGTGTGCGTCAGTCTTGAGAAATTCGCTACAAGTCGTTGCGTTGATGAACAGTGGTACTACGAAAAGAATATTACCGAAAAAAAAAAAAAATAACGTAGATACAGTGTACAAGAGATTAGTGCGAGATTATCGAGGGATGGTGGTGCTACTATTTTAAATTTTTTCTAATTTAAACGATGATGTTGATTTAGTTTTTTTATTTCAATGTTACAAATTTATAATCTACTTTATCTAATACAAAAGTAATAAGTAAGCCCCTTGTCGGAGGTGGTGGATTTTTCAATTAAGTCCTCATCGGGCAAGAGGCCATATGGAAGCAGAAAAGGAAGAAGATAAGAAAAGCGAGTACCATTCAAAATTCACAGTAAAAATTACTCTCGCTAAAAACTGTTAGCCCAATTTAGATTTGGTGAGAGAATCGGATTTAAAGTTCCAAAAACTTATCGGTTAGATGTCCGAAGAATATGAAATTAAATTAACAGGACATCCCCAAACAAATCCCAATATTACCCCTACGAAATAATAAAAATTATTCTTGAACTTCCACTGAAAAAAGAAATTTATTGAAAAATTGAAAAAAAAATTTTTACGGGGGGATTCAAACTCACCTACTCCAGTTCTAACAAGAAGAGCGACTGGACGTAGAAGAGGAGTAGGAGGGTCAGAACTTTTAGTTTGGTTAAAGACACAGAAGGTGTAACTAAATTACTATTACAAATTTAAACCACAAGTAAATGCAACCAAGTTAACAATATCAATAAATTTACAATATTGGTAGGCTTCCTTTTCGGTTTTGCCGTGACACCCTGTCCACAATACGCCAGTTTAGTGTGATGTCATTTTCGATCCATTAACTTTTAATTCTAACCAAACTTTTAACAAAAACATCAATAAATTTGACATATACGTTTTTACCATAGAAACTAAAGTTTATGGTTAGAATGAGACAAACCGTGGTTCCAGAGGTAGGCTTAGATAAAATTAGGAAGAGATAGCTCTCGAGAGCTTTTATTGAGCGACTCGAACTCTGATCATCATTGGGGGAAAAATGTTTTAAATAAAAAATAGCTCATATAAGTGGGGTCTGGAAGAACTCACACCGCACTTGATGGGTATATTCAGATCCTCGTTGGCTCTAAGGTATATCCTAAAAAAATGGAGAGAGGTAAAAGTGGTATTTATACCCAAACCTGGAAGGATGGATTACACTGTCCCAAAAACATACCGACCAATTAGTCTGACATCGTTTTCCATGAAGACGTTGGATAGGCTATACGAAAGGTACATAAGGGATGCGGTGAATACAACAACACCACTATATCCAAACCAACATGCATACAACCCAGGCAGATCTACTGATTCAGCCCTTCATCTAGTTGCTGGCCGGATAGAAATATACTATTTCTATGGTTTTTACTGCTTTAAGTTTTTTTCTGAATATTGTTTGCATGTCATAAAAAGGTATATAATTGGTAACTAAACGATTGTATATTTGATTCATGTTATCTACTTACTTTAGGAATATATTTATAAAAGTGAAAAAAGATATAATTTAGGTAAACAAAACGAACAAAACGCACTCAAAAAATCTACTGTCACTTTAATTATTGTCAGTGGAACCACTAAAATGGCGTATCACATACTTTGATTACTATACGTTGCAATCGAGAGGTCCGACACGCCCAAAATAGGGCGCGGCCATTTTGATGCCTTTATCACAGTTTATAGCTAAAGAATCAGTTTGCTCACTCTGCGTCGGCACTTTTGATCTCAATGTTCCAGTTTATACACTGCGCAACTCGGATAATACAATATATGACAACCACCTATAATAAAACAGCAGTCTTTTGCACATCCTGGATTTGTATCCCTGGAATGGATGTTATTTTGGAACTTTTAACTGGTCCGAGTGAGCTAACTCATTCTTTAGCAATAAACTGTGACTCCAAAAATAATATTTACTGACACTGAGAGCAGCAAGCAAAATAGCAGGTGTGTTTTAATCATCCGCTTCTGCTTTCCGAATTGTCGGTTTAACCTGTCAGATTAAAACAAGAAAACCGACAATTCCGAAGCAGAAGCGGATGATTAAAACGCACCTATTAAAAATATTGCGCCAAGATGTAGGCAACACGTAATAAGGCATCAAAATGGCGGAGTTTTCTATCTCCTTTTAAAAGGCACTCAGAAAGCTGCGCAGTGCACCATTCTCCGTATAGTAAGAGAAAATCAAAGTATGTGTGGCGTATAGACAATGTTGAAATTCACCTGTCATTACACTCCCACTTTCCACCCCATCACATGACTGCAACGCTGCCAGTGAAAGTGGTGGATTAAAAACGCTACGTTCATAGAAAAACTAAGCTACCCTAGTTTACTTTACCCTCTGGTTGATAGAACTACATAATTATATAGGTTTAGTGTAATACATTTTGTAATTATGGTGAAAATGGATGCATAAAATGTGTTTTTTATTATTGTATCTTTTCTCTAATGTTTTAAAATTATCATTTGTTTTTTGAATAATATTTACGTCTTTAAAAGATTCATTTGAAGGGGTGGGTGGCCCAGTGCCTGTAGATCGAAGGGTCCCAAATTCGAATCCCACCGTTGGCCGGGATTTTTTTATTTAATTTAATTATTTAAAATTAATTCTCATGCCTTGGTAGGATTCCCCACTCGACCATTTACTGTTGGGTTCTAATTAACAGTGCTGTTCCTAAATTGGCGCTGGGAAACAGTAACAAAGCCTACACAGAACACTGTGCTAATGGCCTTAATAGTCGATGCCGATGATACCAAATTTAAAAAAAAAGATTAATTAACGACAAATGTATTTAAACTAAAGTATATATACTTGTCTTCTTTTAAACTTGCTTGTATAGTTTGAAGCTTGGCCTAGCTGCCCTCTTGGAGGTAAATATCTCTGCTTTCCTGCGGAATTTATTTATTTCACTGCACTTGCGCACTTATTTATTCACTTACTGTTTATATTGTTCACTGTATTGATTTTTAGTTTAAATTTTTATTGCCTTTTTTAAGTTTTTTTGATTAATTTCTTCTAGTTGGCTGTATCTTCTTAGTTTTCTTATTGCTTAATCCGGCTCGAAGGACCAAGAAATGATTTGGTTCTTAATCACTTTAAATTGATTTTAATAATTAAAAACACAATTGACATCTAACTATAAATTTATGTATTTATTATATCAAGATTTATTTACAATTTATAACTAAACTATATTTACTATTGACAACTTATCGCCCTTCACACATATTATATTAAATACTTTTTGTAAAGTAAACCATACTAACGGCTTTGTATGTACCGTCGTTAGTAGGCGAGGAAAAGAAAAGTTTTGTCGTTTTAGGATTGAATGTTAAAATCGTTCTGATCTCAAAAACCCTCTGCGCAGATAAATTTACCCGGCGGGCTTTGGGTTCTAAAGTTTATTACCCTGTAAATAATAACAATTTATTTTTACTAGACTTGCGAATTTATGATTGTAAAGTTTATGTTAATATTTTTACTTTTTGAATTTGAATCTTTATTTTAAATAGGATATTTGTTTCTTAAGCTTGTATGCCCAATAAAGATCTTTATTATTATGTATTTTAATTCCTGTTGGGAATACCGTATTGGAGATTTCCAACAATGGTTTTTACGTTTTTTATTGATTTTCATACTTTTTTTAGTGTATAAAAAATAGCATTGAAAGTATGTCTATGATGTCTATAGTCTAACCATACGTCAAACAGACATGACTTTATTGTTTTAAGTGATTTACTTTTTACAAAGAAAAATATTAGTATTAAATGCCATTTAATCTTTTAAAATGTACTTTTGGAAAATGCGTGCTTTATCAAAGATATGTGGTGGTTATTTTTATGCAACTGGCTCTTTTAAATTCCTATCATTTGATGATGGTGCTCAATGTCGCAATCACAGAAATGGTGGCTGAAAGAAACCATACATCCAAAGTAAGAATGAACTAAATTTAATTGTAAATCACCACTAATAGATGAAATATCGAGAATATACTCAGATAGGAATTTCGGATTTATGTTTATACTAATATTTTTTTTTTATTTCGTGTATCAGCAGGCGAACTGTGTACAGGTGTTCTGTTTTTTGCGCTATGGATACCAACAAAAAAAAATAAGTACTTTTTTTATAGTTTAGAAATTGTTTCTCACCTAAATATAACATTTATATTTATAATATGGATGTATCTGATGTCTCCAATAATAATAATCCGATAAATAATAATATTAGCATTTAAAAAGATATAAATTCATTTGATTTATCTAAAAAGTACAGTACAAATAGATTCAGGTCCCTTTTATGTATTTGTGGAACATCTCAATAAAAAATATAGGCAGATTATTTCCGATGAAAATTGGTTATTTTTTGCTAACCGATAATAAATTCAAAGAAGATATAATAGACATAAAGTCTGTGGGAGTAAGTAGGGTCAAAATTATTTTTAGAAAGTATGAAATAGCTAATACTTTCATAGGACGAGATATTATTACCAAAAATCAACTTGTAGCTTACATGCCTACCTTCTTTACCCACCGCAAGGGTCTTGTCAGAATGGTGGACACGTTCTTAAGTGAAGATTTTCTAATTCAAAATATAGAATGCGATATTAATGAAATTGTCATGAACCTTACATCCACCCAGTTGTTCAATGTTACGGTTGCCTGAAATATGGACATACCAAAAAGTTATGCAAGTCCAAGTCCCAAAAATGTCAAAAATGTGCAAGATAATACAAATTGCTCAACCTCTAATAATTTCTGTATTTATTGTCAGAATAATGATCACTCTTCTATATCAAAAAATTGTCCAATGTACCAAAAACAACATAATATCAAAAAAGAAAGGGATTTTCGCAACCTCTCTTTTAAAGAGGCCGAGAGTAAAGTAAATAATCCGTCATATTCAAAGATTACAACCAATAATAGATTTGCAATATTCAACAACACACACAATTTTCCATCACTCGCCCAAAAACACATATTCAAACTCCGTCCAAAAAATGTAAAGCTTCTACACCTTCTACAATGTCTTCACCAACTACCTCAAAAACTCAAAATAAATCTCAAACGAAAAAAATTCACTTCAGTACTACCAAACCCATATAGGGATGATTTTATGCAATATAAAGAAAAATTAATAGAAAACATTAAATTTTATTATATCCAATTTCGCGTCTAACTCTGGAAATAACCCACAATTAATTGAAAACACAAATCAATAAATTAAAGGCCAAATTTCATCTTTGTTAAAAATTGATCCATCTGATTCAATAAGCATTAGGGATGATGACTCAAGTACCTTCTAGACATTTAAAAATATTACAATGGAACCTTAATTCTATAAATAAACGGAAACCTGATTTACTAAAATTATTAAATAATGAAAGCTTTGACATTCTAACTCTTTGTGAATTATGGCTAAAACCAAACGAGAATTTAATTATTAATGGATACCACAAAAAAGATGGCTACGGAGGTATTGCCATCTTAATCTCAAAAAATCTTAAATTTTAACCATAAAACAAAATTTTAATAAAAATATTAAAACATGTGCAATCTATCTAGAACAATCTTTTAATTATTTTTGTCAACCACAGTTGGGTAGTATTCGAATACCCGGTATTCTGAATCCTATTCAGAATACATTTGGCTGGTATTCGAATACATTTGTGTTTTCTGTATTCGGTATTCGACTGAATACTTTTTTGGTCAGTACTCGGTATTTTGGATTCAGAATACCATTTTTGAATCCTAGTATTCGGAATACCCACTTTGTATTCGAATCCCGGTATTCGAATCCTGTTTTCGAATACTGTTTGATTATTTCTATGATATTGCGTTACGTTTAACTGAACTTAAGAGTATTAAAACACGTTTCGGTGGTTGTGGACGGCGCAGTCGCAGTGCTTCTGAATTCGCGATGCCGACGATCGGGTGATCGGGGTGAAATTTAGTCATTCATTACGAAAGCGCGAGTGGAGCAAGTCGCTTAATGACTTTAGAAGATTAGCTTAGGCTTATAACTCCATAACAGCGCAATTTTCAAAAATTTTGTAAATGTCCTTTTTTATGTATATTCAAAAAAAGCCATCTTTTAAAATTAGTTTTCGAAAATTGCACCGTTATGCAGTTATGGTTCGAGGCGTATCTCGTGGGACACCCTGTATAAGTAAGTAGGTTATAGGGTATAGGTTATAGGTAATGGGAATTGTTTATTTTTTATTAAACAATAAGTTTGTGTTTTTATCTGATGGTGTACCAAAGAATTTTATTTTAACTTTTTCATTATTTTATCGTTTTATTTATAATTTTTTAATAAAACTTTAAGAAATAAAAATCAACAAATGTTTTTTTATAAAACAGTTATTTTATTTAACCTCACTGTGACACTGTGTATCAGAAAATGATATTTCAAGCTTTATTTAACATAGATTTTTAATTCTTTTTATATTTTTATAAATTAACTACATAAATAATAATCAAGCTTTATGTGCGCACATGTTATTTGTAGTTGGAATATTCATAAAGTATTCATATGTAAATGAATCCAGGTATTCGAATACAGCGGTATTCAAATACTTTTTTTTCTTTGTATTCGAATATTGGTTATTCGAATACAATTTAGAATACAGTATTCAGGATTCGTATTCGAATACCGGATTTCAGTATTCGACCCAACTCTGTTGTCAACAAACCTCCTAATAAAAATGTTTGTATAGACGATTGGAAAAAATTATTTTTGCAATTCCCAAATAACTCTCTTTTCTGTGGCGATTTTAATTGTCACCACACCCTATGGGGTTCTTCACTCAATCAAACTGATAGTCAACGGCTTGTTAAGTACTTAATGATACTAATCTTATTGTATTAAATGATGGATCTCCAACCAGAAATAGTAGACCTAACGAAAACAAATCAGCAGTGGATCTCACTCTCGCATCGTCAAACCTTATGTCTAAATTCAAATGGGATACAACAAAGGACCTTTCGGAGCTCTGATCATTTTCCAATATATATTCAATTTAATACTAATTACTAACCTCAAAACATCCTGCTTCATACGAAATTGAGCACCAAATATACAGATTGGATAACTTTTTTCAAAATTAGTAGACGATCAATTATTAGATAATGAAGTGACATTCCAAGACCTTTTAGCAATACTTACTAATGCAGCAAATAGTTCCATGAAAATCATTGCATTTTACGTGGTTCTAATAAACGTTTGCATAATTTTCGTATTTCTTATTTTAATACCTATTTTTAGGTTTGAAAAAAGATATGGCATAGGCGGCCATTTAGTTCAGCCAAAGAATTAATAAATAAAATTAATTTCCTCTTAGTATCTATTGTTATAGGCCAGTGTCGTATACTATAAACTTTATACATTTTCTTTGTTTAAAGGTAAATGAATGTCCACAATACACATACGAGAGAATAGAAGAAGTTGAAGGCGGTACTTTCCCGTGGGACAATGAAATGGAGGCCATAATTCTTTACGCGTTTTATATCAGCTCTACTATCAGTCAAATTCCCGGTGGTTGGTTGGCTGACAAGATAGGCGGTAGACACGTAATGGGTACCTGTTTATTGATATCATCGTGTGTCACCATTGTTTTTCCAACTGCACTTCAATATGGCGGATCTACCGCCGCTATTACACTGAGGATGGTCTTGGGTGAGTAGTTTTTTGTTGTAACTCATAACACCGCCGGTATCAGGTGGTTTTAGCAACTGGTACCTCTTTGACCATTTGTAAAAAGCAGCCTTTACCCGTGCGTTATAAATAATTGGCAACTGCAACAACATATTTCACTGATGAAATTATACAGATACTTTGTGTTTTATGATAAAATATTAAACAGATTCGGCTAAAATTTTTGTTGGATATAGTGCAAAACTATAAAGAACAACAGAAAGAAGACTATTTATATGAAGCTAGCATAAAGAAGAGAAAGCAGAAGAAGGGCGTTTGCACCCCACTATTGGGCATTCCAAACTGAATGCCTATCAGTGGGCTTTGACGGGTTATGACATTGCAAAATTATGGCAACCCTGTAGACCTGGTGATTTGACAAGGTCAATGAAATAGATAGTTACATAGATTGATTATCCATATTTTTCAAAATAAACATAAGCGTATGCCTTGAAGTAAAAATGTAAGCAATTATTTTTTTTTAATATCTAAAGGCTAAAAATTGGTTTTAAAACACATTTTTGCTAAACCGATTCAAATTAATAAATATTTGCCAGGCAATATGGCCGCTCGTAAACGACCAGCTTTGAACAATCTATATAACTATATATGTATCATTGACCCTGTTAATGACAACATGACAACAGGGTTGCCATATCTAAACTGTCATTACCCACTGGTAGCCATATGGACAGGTCGTTGGAATGCCTAATTCTTCGCAATCCCGATTGATCTCATCCGTTGACTTTGACACGCAAATAAAACAAATTCAACCGGGATCCGACCGAGTCTATAGCGCGTGAAGACAATTGCTGCGTTTGAGAATCCACATCGGATGCATTTTTTACATCTCGAGCGTTTTTTTATCCACATCGGACACATCTGTCCCATTACATTTACGTATACTGAATCACGTGATCAAAGATTTACTACATCTTAGATGCATCCGATGTGGATTCTCAAACGCGGCAATTAGATTCTAGTTTTCGATTTTAAATAACTAGGTATTAATATAGCGACCGTTTAGTCCAGGAGGCAATGAAGTTTTTTGGTACTTATTGTCCCAGTCGGGAAACATCAATATAATTATTCGGTTTGTTATTCTAAGCAAAATTCATACATATGTAGAGGGGGGGTTCTGATGAGTTGATGAAAAAAATGCATTTGAAAGTACACAGTTACTTTTTTCCAGTAATAAAAATTATTCTATTAGCGAGAGATATAGTGAAGTTAAGAAAAAAAAATGGTGTGGCTAATCTGTGAGTTTGGGTAATATGTCTGACAGGTGAAAAATTGGAAAAAAATTATCAAAGCCATTGACCTTACTTTTGCAGTCCTAAAAATTTATCAGAGGATAGTTTATTATAATTACAGCTGCAAATATAGTCTGGTTAATGTGGAACACCCCCAAAGCCTTTCCAGGCTAAATTCGGCATGTTCAATTATACAGGTGATTGTTGTCACATGTTTACATGTTTTTACTTTTCATAATTTATGATAAGAAAAGTATTGGTTGAGGGCGAAATTTCACTATGGCTAAAAACACTTTTCTCTACGTTTTGAGATCCCAGGAATCCGATAAACATGGTTTAAATAAAATCTCTTGTTTTTTGTAGAAAATTTATTTCGCTACAAAAAAGATCTCTTGACATTTTTGTACATATCCATTAATTTGTGAGATATAGTGAAAAAAAAATGCGAATTTTTCTTACATTCAGGCGCGACTATCTGTGAAACTATACAAAATATACGAACAAGATTAAGAAGCAATATTGTAAATAATTAAATTTCGTACAATGATATTAATGACAGACGAACGAGAGGGTAGACATTTCGCTAAAACTCGAGGAACATCACTTTCAGCTGTCTAAAAAATCAAAGTAAGCAATTACACTGTAGTGAGTGTATAGAATACCGAATTCTTATTGGGCAGATTGAAAAATCAAAATCAAAAATCAGAATAATGAAAAACAAAATTGTAATAAATTAAAAATAATATTGAAAAATTAAACTACAATGACATATCATCAAATAAATTCTTCTTCATCAATTTCTTCTTCGTCATCGCTATTATAATCTTCACAATACACGTTATCAGCGTCATCTTTCTCGAATTTATCATTATTATCATCGATGCTCTTTTCAACCCCCAAAACATCTGATTCAGGGTTGTAATCATCTTCACCTGCGAACATATTTAAAAAATGTAATTCTACCTCAAAGTGACATTGAAGCTATATTTGAAACAAAGAAAATATGTACCTTCTTTTGATTGGATGACAACTTCGTTGACAAACGTAGGTAGCTGGTCACCTTCAAACCATCGAAACTCGAATTGTCCAGCCACCTCTTGTCATCCATTATCAACGGATGATACAATCGTTGGATACTTGGAATGAGCGTTTTTGCAAATGTTTGAAATGTATGAAGCCCGTAAGATCTGTTAGTGTAATTCTGATTGAGAAGGTGGTATAGCAGAACCGTCAAAGTTTTGGACGATGGACTTGAAGAACTATGTACTGCAGTTTGCATATACTTTGGTGAAAATAGCGAATCTTGCTTTGTTGACGTTTTTGGTTTTCTTTATACTAGGGTCACATTGTCGCTTGATGCTGTGAGGGCTGGGACAGTTGTCCTTCGCCAATGACTCATAGAAAAGTGATTTTATTGTATAGTCACGTGATAATTGAGAGAGATAGAAATATAAAGGACCAGAGCCAATGCAGCTGTTCTCAGGTACTCGCATTCCAGCGTCGTTATCTAAATACGCACTTGCCTCTTCCTCTCCTCATTAAACTATCTTATTTGTGAGTCTGGCGGTGCTTTCGTGATTGTAAATGACAGCCAGACGTGTATTTTCTGTAAAATTATAGTATTATTTATCAAATTTTTAAATCCGGGAAAATAAGAACAAACAATTTGTAATTTTGACAATTTTCAAGATGCCGCCAGACTCATTTAGCAATTTCGTAAATCAGCCAGACTTACTTTTGATTATAGTTTAAGATAGTATCAAAAGATACGTTAAATTTCAAAATAAGGGTAATGGATTTCAAAAATCGGTCAAATTTTCCTCCGGTTAGGATCTGCCAGACTATTATTTCCAAATAAAATTATTCACTTTAATAAATGTCAAATATTTATGACTGGGAAAATAAGTGGACCCATCCAAAAATTTTAGCCAGACTCACAAATTGTCATTTTGTGTCACCATCCGAACAAACAATGTCACATTCACCGACTGCGAAAATAAGTATAAAACAAATTAACTGCCTCCTGCACTAGTTGTTTATACTACTGGTGCAAAAAATACAACTAGTGAAATGGTACTTTGGGGTCATTCCGTTCAAGTATGTGCAGTTGGATTTAAAAATAGGCTAATTCCTACGGATAATGCAATTTAAGTCGAAATCAATTGACTTGAACCTTGAAGGAGACAAGGATGCAAAATATTTTAAAAAGAGATGGGTATTCCTGTTTTAAAGTACAGACCATTCAAGAAATGATCATAAAATATTCCTACAACTGCTACACTTAAGTGTACACTCCAACGAATAGTGTATATAGATAAATAAAATCAAATTCACACTGGATGTGCTGAGAGGAACGACTTTCCACTAATCAATTCATCACAGAGTGGGATATAGAGCGAGCTTGCTTTTTACAAAGCTATCGCAGTTCCTCCTGTTAATTCGCAATATCCAAAAAAAATGTAATCCCTATCTTTATGATAATATCCTGTTAATATTCTACTAGTCTCATAACTTTGATCAAATTGTAGGTTTTGCACAAGGGCCTGTCCTTCCCACAATAGCAACGTTCATCCAGTGCTGGATTCCAAAATACCAGAGAGCCTTTTTGGGCGGGGTAGCTTATGGCGGCTACAATTTGGGTGCAGTGACTGGCTCCTTATTTACCGGTATGATGATCAAGAGGAGCGGCAGCTGGACGCTACCCTTTTACGTTTGGGGTTCTTTGTCGTTAGTGTTTTGCACTTTTTTTTATTTATTTGTATTTTCGCGACCTAGTACGCATCCTTTCATCACAGAAGAAGAGCTGAAGTATTTGGAGACAGAAGTGGAGCAAAGAAAAAGCTTTAACGTACCTTGGTGGAAGCTTTGTACAAGTCGACCGGTTAGTAAAAAGATTATTTATTCTTAATGTATGAATTTTAAAAGAAATAGTAGTAGATTAAAACACAACATAGGAATATCTTTATTACGATATAAATCAATGGAGACATTACCCTACCGGCAGCGCCAATTATTATTTTAAACTGAGAACAAAAAATATTCCTATAAAATAATAAATATACATATTTATATATATGTGAACTCAAAGAAAATCTATATTGTGTCGTTATAAATCCCCTATTGTATAAATTTCATTAAAACTTGACTTTTTATTGGTATAGTTAACTTTAAGTCCAAAATTGGTAGGTCTTTAAGCACTACACTATTTTTTTATTATTAAAAATTACTGTTAACAGTTTTGAGAAAAGTGTGTTTATTCAAAATAGTAAAATGTCGCAAGTTTTCAGTCCCAGTCATCAGCTACAGCGATTTATTGTGGCACTGCTAATCGCATTGGATTATTCCGATATATAGGTTTTGTAATGTCTCATAGAACACTCATTTTCCCTATAAAGTTCAACAGATTCAATTGTTTCTCCTTCAACCACCTCAATTTACCGACAATCAGTTAACAAAAATATGGTTTCACGTGTTCAAGCAGATACGACTGGCACTGACTGGCACAAAACCTTTTATATTCGGCATGTACATTAGTAACGCAGACAGTAAATTTTACTGTAATGAAAGAAAGACTAACAGGCTAGTAAATAGCCTACGCAGCTATTTTCTTTACAAACACGCCTTCTGGTACAAGCACTGGTGCAAAAATAAGTTATTATGCCAGTAACACCGGATTAGTAGCTGTCTTGCAAGTTACTGGTGCAAGTAACTAACCTCTCTACTATACCAATTAAAACACCCCTTTATATACATTAAATACGTTGAACTTTTGTAGGTTTGGGCACTTCTGGCCGCTATGTACGCCCACAATTTAATTTTCTTTACGTTGTTAACCAATCTACCCAAATACCTCAAAGAAATTTTGAAGATGAACGTACAAGCTAACGCTGTTGGAACAGGGATACCATTCTTAGGTAAATATTTTCGTTATTTTAAAGTTATTGTCACTGCTGTGATGTAAAAGTTAGATCGGAGCAACTGGCGAGCAGGAAGGGCATTTGTCATATCATTTTATGTCATTATTGCTGTAGGTTTCTGTATTTGCGAGATGGGAAGTATTATATTTACCCTATTTTTATATATTTAGGCTTTTCCTAATCTTAACTAATGATATTGCTTTTTAATTTGACTTACTTGAAGAACTTTGAAACATAACATAAGACGCAGAAAAAAGTCCCCTTGCTTCGGGACAAGGCTTCGGTAATTGAAAACATGCTAGTAAAAGACTTCATGTACATGTACATGAAACTATTTTGAGACACACAAATTGTTTTACAAATGAAAATACAAGATAAAGGTTGGCGCCTTTTTGGCTAATAAATTGGCAAACCATTGGGACAAGATGACACGAGGGCAATAGGAACATTAGTTATATCCATTTTAGGTCATTAAGGGGATTAACATCTGTGAGTATATTGAACTGAAGTAACTTTTATATAATTTTTTAGGTCTCTGGATATCAGTCGTGGTCTCCGCCTACGTAACAGACTGGCTTATCAACCGTAACTTGGTTTCAGTTCCAGTAGCTAGGAAAGTAAATACTACGATATCGTCCATACTTCCAGCGTTTCTGCCACTGGTAGCAGTTTACGTAGGTTGCAACAGACCAGCGGCCGTTGCATTATATACTTCAGCGATTACGTTCTTGGGACCGTTTACTTCTGGGATGCAAATCAATGTGAACGAAGTCAGTATACATTATGGAGGTAAATTACAACTATTTAAAAAAGAAAATTATTTGAAAATCAAATATGAACACGACGAAAAATAAATAAAAACAAGAAAATATCAAAGCTATGTGTCACAATATCGTATCTCTGGGTAAAACATCTGCTTTGGTTAATACCACATTAGGTATTAAATAAAGAAAAACAGCAAAGTTAGAAAATAATCATTATTATTATTAGTAATTTTCTATCTGTGCAGTTTTTTATGTAATTCAAAGTATGTTATCTTATTGACCAAAGGAGTATAGGTAGTTATTTTCCGAAAGGAAACGTATCCCTGTTATAAATTACTATTATGACAGGAGTATAGTGACGGTAAAAGATAATAAGACCATGGTGTAGAGCAGGGAGTCCCAAACTATTCTGGGCAAGACACCCCTTTTCCAAAACGAACTGATACCTCACACCCCCATAGCCAAATTATTATAAAAATTCTATTGCAAATGCAACTACTCAATTAACTGAAGAAAAATTGTTTCAAATACCAACCATTGCTTTTAATTTTGGGTACGTTTCAAAATTAACTTTATTTTATATGGAAATGACGATTCATGACATTGCCTAAAATGATGCAGGTTTGAATTGTTGCATAAGTTCCCCAACATATGCCAAAAGCACATTCTTAAAAAATTTCATACCTTGCCCTATTTTAAAGGCTATAATTTGTAAGTAATATTAGCAATTTTTTCAAGAATATCAGGAGGAGTTCCTTGAAATTCATTTTTACTATCTGACAAACTCATTTTGATATCCTTTGTTGAACTTTTACTTAAGCTCCTAGTCTGTGATGATGGTGATCAACTCTTCTTGCATTATCACATTGGCTTCTTCCATAGCTGTGATATTGTAAGGATTTCATATCTATTGAGATCCTTAGTAAAATAATGCGTCCAAGTAAGTGACATATGATAGAATAACCCATGGGTAACCGATTTCGACCACAAGGGGTCGGTATCGACCACTTTGGAAATCCCTGGAGCTATCCCCAGACAACACACCAAATCCCAAGGATATCCACAGAATATCTTTTGTGGATATCCAATATATCCACAGGATATCAGAAATATTCCGTGGATCTAATATGGATATCCAAATGTCCGTCTATATCCAGAATATAGAAGATATTCTATGGATATTCAGCAAAATATCTAATGAGTATCTTCCAGACAATACAAGAAATCCCAGAGATATCCACAGAATATATTTTGTGGATATCCAATATGGATATAGAATTCAGATATTCAGAAAAATATTTTATAGGTATCTTTAGTAGAGGTTCATAAGTAACCAATGATTATTGAATAACGTCGAAAGAAAATAGAGATAAAAAATATTTCCAACAATCTGCCTTTAATTTTGCCCACTATAAGGGCACTGATAAGAAAGTCATCCTTATTAGGACTCTTCAGCAATAAATAGGAAATACTCGACTCCAGTCTCTAATAGAGTCTGATTCTGAAAAAAATTCGATCGAACTCATTTACGGCGGGTTGAGCATGAGTAGATACGAAAGTGGTATCGCCATCTATACTAAGGAAGCAAAATCAAAAATTACATCTAGAAGATATCCACGATGGTTTGCGTCCGCGCTTAGACTTTGATATATTTATAGTGGATGTCCATGGGATATTGAATACACCTTAAAAAATTAATTTTAAATATCTGAACGGTACTATTAGCCACAATGGCGTAATTTTTAATAATTTGCTATATAATTACTATTATTTATGGACATTTGCATGTCTATAAATTACATTTCATGGATATAAAATAGATATCCACCATGGACTGGACATTCAGTGGATATTGGGATGTTCAGTAGATATCCAAAGGGTTTGGTGTGCTGTCTGGGTCCTTGTTGCTCTTCAACGTTGATTATTTCCTCAACTGCTCCATACTCTTCATCAGCAGGTGCATGGCTATATTTTCAGCACCCGTAATTTGGTGCTGATATGGCGTGGACCCGAAAAAATAATTTAAATAAAAGAAGAATATATCAAGGGCGTGAGGTGAAAACCAGAAATGTCCACGCGACAAAGTTTTGAATAATAACAGTTTTTATTTAAAAACGTCATAACTTGATTTTGTTAAGAGGTAATAAAAGTATTTTTGTTTATGAAACATCTTATATTATTGAAGAATCAATAAGCAATGAAAAATAAACCAAAAAATTAAACTTCTGTCAAAAAAAACGTATTTATGGAGTAACGTTTGCTCTGCTCTGCTCTACGCCCTGGTCTTATATGTATATTTTACGATCACTATACCTCTTGACACTTTTATTTACTTGCAGGCACCATTATGGCCATCGCGAATGGCCTAAGTTCGACTGCCGGTATATTAGGACCCTACATGGTAGGAGCTTTGACTGAAGAAGAATCTTTCGCCTCCTGGAAAAAATGCTTCTGGGTGATATTTGCTGTAGCTGTTGTCGCGTCCGCAATTTATATTATATTGGCCGAATTCGAACGACAGAGCTGGGATTTCTTGGATGACGAATAATTTTTTTGGCCGACATTTCTAATATAAATACATACTATTCAATTTATTGTATTTTACAGTCTAAGTACATAATAATATATGAAGTCTCCTTTAATATTTTTTAATTGATTTAATAATGATACTTATTGAGATTTCGCAATTATTAAAATTATTTAAATACTAACAGTCGATCGCAAGAATTTTTATTAAAGTTTATGATAAACTTTGACAGAACTTCAGAATGTGATCTGTCTGAATGATGTGACAGACTTTTGGTTCACCTACAGTGAATCAGCGAGTCTGTGTGGCGCTATGAAGGTGATTCCCGAATAGGGGTTGCTCAGGCGCCAGTTTTTATATCGCAGTTTGCTCTGCGACCCTGTGGTACACCAGAGTGTACACAAGGTGAACTCAGTGGAGGTAAATAATTCCAGGCGATCACTGCTAGGTAGCCATTATACTAGAATAAATAAAAATAAAACACTTATCTCCTTTACATTTCGTACCCTACGGTACCCTGAAAGATAATGGTTAAGAACCAGTAATAAGAGAAACACAGGAATAGGTAATAAAATATATATTTACAAAAAAATAATGCAACGGTAATTAAATATGAACGGCTCCCTATATGCGGAAAACTTATTAAAAATAAATTATTACCAATGAAAACTAATTAAATATTAACGGCTTCCTATATGCAGAAAATTTATTAAAAATAAATTATTACCAATGAAAACTAATTAAATATTAATGTAGACATCTGGTAGTACATAGCTTCTACAAGAGAGAAACCCTTTCCACGTGCTGTTATAAAGACTAGGGGCTGAAACAGTTCTGATTATCGACGGGAGGAAGCAAGTTAATACCGCTATAACCCCCTGATTAACGCGAAAATGGATGAAGGGTGCGAGTGCCCCCGGATTTAAATCCAATTTACTTTATTACCTTGTTAGGTAATAAGGAAATTAAAAGTTCGTATTACCTTTTACTAGTACGGGAAAATATTTACGGTTCGCTAGCACAGGAGGCCAAGCGGTCTGGAAATTATGAAACTCCCTATATACGGAAAATTTATTAAAAATAAATTAATAAACCCGAAAACAATTTAAAAATGACGGTAATCAAATGCAAGTAAATAAATGAAATCAAAGTTTTCGGAACGGAAATCAAATTTTAATGTTGAAATACATGGTCATACATACTTGACGAAAAAAAATTTGATTTTTCTCGAAAATGGTCGACTTTAGAACGTATGACCAAGAGTACCTACCTTTTTTGTGTAGAAAACATTGGCGGTTCAAATGGGCGTCTCAAAACCGTACTTTTTCCAGTGGCGTAGAATTTTTTTTTAATTTCAACACCCTGTATCTCGAAAACGGTGCCTTTTAGAGGGTAAGTTAATAGAAACGTTTTTTCATATTTTTGGACGAGCTATCACGTCCTGAAGTCATGCGCATATATTATGAAACACCCTGTATAAATATACTTTTGTACAATCGTTCACTATTTAAACTTTTAGTGAACCTTTGCAATATTGGTACCTTATTATACTATTTAGCAAATTTTGTCCAGTCTTTCAGTGTTTTATATGTGGCTTCTACTATATCGCACATGTGATATACCAACCTCAAAATCTTAATTTCAGCTCTCTGTATTACATTACACAAAGAACAATATGTAGAACTAATTCACATTATAACATCTATAGAAAGTTTCAGAGCAACTTTCAGGGTAAGTACCTTAAAAGTGCTAGTGTGATGTTTTCCGAACTTCTCTTTGTAACCTCTGTGAGATGTGCTATAAAAGTCTTGCCGTTGCGGGGATATTAGGGTTACATTAAAAGTACTTACATCACATGTGAGCTTAAAGATCCTAAAATTGCAGCTTATTAACCTAGATGGGATGTTTTTGTGCTAGCTGGGGTTGGTTTCCCGAGTGTATCAGTGACCGAAATATTCCCGTTTTCCAAGAGTACCGTAGAGTATGAGGTATAAAGGAGATAAGTGTTTTAATTCTAGTTTAGTGGCTACCTCGTTAGCAGTGACCGCCTGGAAATATTTTTAACTCCACTGAGTTTATCTTGAGTACACTCTGGTGTGCTACAGGGTTGCAGAGCAAATTGTGTTACCAAAACTGGCGCCCGAGCAACGCCTATTCTGAATTCACCATCTTAGAGCCACACAGTCTTCCTGATTTACTGTAGGTGAACCAAAAGCCTGCCACACTACATTGGAGGCTCAGAAGGATTTCTTGAAAATGACATTGTTATTTGAGTCAAAGAAAATGGATGACTATCGCGAAGACATGGATGGTTCAGTTTTTGAAACTCGATTTAAAAATATTCTTGAAAAACTGCCACCTGATTTCGTGATAGTGAATGATACCATAGTAGACTAGCTGAGCCCTTACTAACTACAAAATGGATGAAAGCAAAACTTTCAGGTTGGTCGAAGTCTAAAAATATTAATTTTACACGGACTGCTTTAATAGCTGAATAATGGTGGCTAGTAAAACAACATAAAAGTGTTTACAAAGACGAGGTGGACAAGGTCCTTCGATTTCCGCCATATCATTCCGAATTTATAATTGATTTGGGCACGTGGCCTAGCCGAAGTTCAATGGTTGTTTCTGGAAGCAGTTTCCAAAGTGGGAGCTAAAAACTGGAGAACAAGCATACAAGATGTTGAAAAAGTGGAACAGTTATTTTGGAGAGAAGATGTATCAGCTGAAACTTCTTTTTCCTATTAGCTGTCATTAGTCCAGTCATATTAGGGGTTTCACTTCGAAAATACAGATAGTCAGTCATAAACTTGCATAAACCTAAAAATTGTCCCAAAACCTACTTATCATAGGCTGTTGGCTACTACATATATCTAAGGACAAAGGTCAAAAAAACGATTTCTTTTTGTTTTTGCACATTTTTTGCAAATATTTCGCTTCCTATGAGTTTTGCGCTACGACTTTTGTTTAATTTTTTTTTTTCATATCTCTAACCGTTTTCGAGATAAAGGTCAGAGAGCGCGCAGTGTTGAACTATTTAGAGCCATCATTCGAGGTCAACCGATAGTCCCGATTAAAACCACGCCGTATAAACTCTATAAATTATTAATAAACATATAATTCTAAATAATTTGCATTTTTTATTAACAATTACGTTATATTATAATTTTTTTTCATTAATTGAGTATCTGTTCATTTAGTTACCTACTCCTGTATTTTAAGTATTAACGTATTTCCGTTAATAACTTCTTAATTCTAACCTAATTTATACTAATTACTCCCTAACTAAAAAAAAAAGAATTACATTTTTATTTTATTAAAAAATGCCATTCCATATATTTATGAACGTTGAAATTGAAAAAAATAAATAAGAATACAAACTACAAGTTCTAATTTCAATTTTCTTCTTCTTCATTGTCGTCTTCCGCTCGCTGTAAAATTTCAAATTCCTCTTCGTTCTCGTCTTCAACGACATTTGTCTCCAGGATTTTGGGGTCAAAGGATCGTCTTCATTTACATCAGTCTTATATTGAGACAAGCTTGCCTGTTACACTGGCCGCAAGCTAAAGAGCATTATAAACCTGTTTTTCTGCATCCACATCGCGAACTACGTTGCAGAATATTGTGTTAAGCAATTCCTCTGGAGCTGGTGGGAAAATTGTCTTAACAGGTTCCAGGAATTCATTACGCATTATCCAACCCCAATCCTGGGGTTCTAAATCATGCCCTAAACAAGTATGAACTTGATAATAAACACGGTTGAAATGTTGGTGGAAGATTTGATAAATGCATAGATTTATTCAGTTTTGATAACGGCAGTTTCTCTAGTGTTCTTAAAAAAGTTTTTCTTTCCTTTTTCAAAGAGCGTAGAATTCGTGCAGAAACATAATGAGTTTTTTAGAACGAGGATATTTATCAAAACTTTTGGAAGAGTATATTTTAGTTTTTACATTTTCTTTGTAAAGTATTAAATATATTATATCAATAATTTATAAATAGTTGAACACTCTCTGTCCTCTATCTCGAAAACGGTTCAAGATATGAAAAAAACACCCTACGATAAGTAGGTCTTGAGACAAGTGTCAAAATAAAGGTTTATGCACATTTATAGCTGCCTGTCTACATTTTCGAGATACCCTATTTTGATTAATATAACTGGAATATCATAACTTATAGATTTCTTGATTAAAAATTTTGCTCGGAATCTACTAATTACTAATTTTTGTATCTCAGAGAAATGCCTAATCAAGGCCCAAGCGCATTAAGTGAAAATGAAAAAGTTAAAAATAGTAATAAAAGGAAGACAGGTTAGAAGAAAATATTTATTTGCGGCTTTTAACGGAAGATTGATCGTGTCTGTCACGATTTTACAAATTAATCCCAGGGATACTTAACGGATTGAAGGAAACTGACAAATAATTCACGCCCCAAAATAAAAATTTACGTGTGGTGTGCTTTCTTTCTAAAAATATTTATGCGTAAATTTAGAAAGTGTAATATTAACTACTTTTGTCGCTGAAACGTTGCATTTTGATAATTAAAGATGATTTTTTTTAAATGTACAGGGTTATTCATTAATAAACATAAACAAATATTTTAAATAAAAGTTTTGGGATAAATAGAAATCCAATTCAAGTATTCTTAAAAAAAATGTTTTGTTTCAAACTTTTTTATACTAAAATATGAACAAGGTGTCATTCGATTCGGAATAGCGTGTAATGATTTTTTAAAAAATTCAATAGCCGCTTGCAAAAATTAGTAATATAAATAAAAAAACATTTTTGGTGGGAAATTTCCTCCTCCTTTTGAATCTTTTGTAAAATGTAAAATAGTTTTTCTTGGCAACTTTATGAGGTGTCTTTCGATTTCGAATCTTTCAGTTAATCTAGTAATTCCAAAGGCGTGCTCACAGGGCACTTCGATTAGTTTTCGGTACAAAAAATATCGACTATACTCTGTTTTTAAACTAGGAGGAGCAAATTAAAAAGATGCATTTACACAGGAAAAAGTAACTAGATTTGTTACTAAGAGCGTGTTTCAAAATATAGTCGTGTTCAATATTTATGAAATAGTTATCTTTATCGGCCTTAGTCGGTGAACTGCCAATGAGCGGTTAAGAAACGAATAAATGTCACACAAGTCA